AATTTCTGGATTTGATGCTCGATTATTGTGTATTAGGGCACAAAAACATTGAAACAAACATTTCTGTGAAGCTGTTTTCAAGCAACATACTTTGTGAAAAGCACTATACAAATAAACAGGAATTGAATTAATAATTCAGTGAAAGATGATGGTGATAATGAATGCTGAATTCAGCTGTTAATCATCACTTCTGACAAAATACAAGAGGCTGATCCGTTCAGTAGTGATGTGACGTTCGACACTGAGGGCTTCGAAGCTTGTATCAAAAAAACGAAACATCTCACAGTGAAGCACTGCACCGGAGCTTGATTCGTTTTGCCAAAACCACGTGATCTGTGACGTCCGAAGCTTCGTTTTCGCACACAACCACGTGACCGCTTCGTATTCTGATTCAAATAACGCGAATCACTTGCGCAGTTTCAAATGTCACTCACGTCTTTGAAAAAAAAAAAAAAAATCACAATGCGAATAAATATTTGCATGTGTAGTTTTGTGCATGTTGATTTTGTATTAATTCCTGGTTCACAGACACTTTAACTGACCATTCTATGATAATCTTCGGTTATTTTGATCATAGCCTATATATGCCTACAGCCTTGCCTATTTTTCCACAAATTTATACACAGACTCATTTATTCATATTGTGTAATACAATGACTGACATGAAGACTTATTTGTATAGACTTCATATTTTTCTTTGCTTTATACAGGTTTTCATAGCACAAACTAATTTATTATCTGAAACAGTCCAAAAATGGCTGGGTCGTATGGGATGCAAAGGCAGCTTTTTCCACCTTTTGACTACAAGATGTCGTTAGTGTGCACCGTCTTGAAAAGCTTAGAGTAATGAACCTTTTACGATATAGTTGAGGGGAAAGCCTCGATGCTTGCAAAGTAGAGATCGACCGATATATCGATTTACCGATATTTAAGCATTTTACAATAATCGGATATCGGTTTTATAATATTGTGGATGTTTTGAGAATTGCGCGCAGGATCAACATTGCAGCGCGTCTGAGGGGAAACAAGACAACAACAACAGCGTGCACAGGTGCTTGATTTACAGTAGTTAGTAAACTTTATTTAACATAACAGCCATTAATGCACAAATTAGATGTATTACATAAATGCCTGATATGCAGTTTATGCAGCTTGGCTCGAATAAATAGAGACAAACTCAAGGAGTCACGTAAGATAATCCGTCAAGTCCTCTCCCAATAAAGACGTAACTTTGCGTGAATTAAATAATATGCAGCCATGAATGGGCGCATGTTGGAAATAAAAGTGCTGAATTTAATTCGTTGTAATATGAAGATTAAATTTAACATGAAAGACTGGTAATTTTCAACACTTTTTTTTTTTTTTTAAGATGGCTGAAAGGAGGAAAAACCAAAGTGAAGCATGGACTTACTTCACTCAGTCATTTATTTACTTTATAAATATCGGTTCTGCATATCGGTTATCGGGCACATAAATACGCAAATAATTGGTATCGGTATCGGTTATAAAATATCAATATCGGTCGATCACTATCGCAAAGCTTAATTTTTCCATCACTACCGTTCAGATTTGCATCAAAAAACACACACACACAAAACGGGTGAAAGTCTCCGAAGTCCCAGAAATGATCAATCTTTAATCATTTACTCACCTTCATGTCTTTCAAACCTGTATGAGTTTCTGTGAATCACAAAAGATATTTGGACACGTCCATACAGTGCAAGTCAATGGGGTCCAAAGTCATTTGGCTCCCAAAGTTCTTCAAAATACCTTCCTTTTGTGTTCCTCAGAAGAAAGTCACACAGGTTTGAAACGACAAGAGGAATGACCTAATTCTGGATGAACCGTCCATTTAAAACCTATTCCACTGAAGATTAAAACAAAAACCATATGACAGGCTGATTCAATTATGTTTTTATGAAGAAAATCTATTACTGTTGATCAATCTGACCAAATAAACACACGACTCAAATATTAGTGCAAAAGTGTAAATAATAGATAAACTCAGTGAGTTTGTGGTTTGTATGCAATGCTCCAGCATCAGCTTTACTAACAGACATCATAAACCCAGAGGGATCAGACAGATTTATGATTAATATTTCATGCGTTTGCTCAAAGCCAGACCGCTTCAGAGGGATGTTCTACTTCCTGTCCTGAGACTCAGGCTCTCAAACCAGACCGACCATAAACCATCACTGACTGATGATAACATCATGATATAGACAAGAAAACCAACTCAAACTAGACTAGACCAGACCAACCATAAACCATCACTGACTGATGATAACATCATGATATAGACAAGAAAACCAACTCAAACTAGACTAGACCAGACCAACCATAAACCATCACTGACTGATGATAACATCATGATATAGACAAGAAAACCAACTCAAACTAGACTAGACCAGACCAACCATAAACCATCACTGACTGATGATAACATCATGATATAGACAAGAAAACCAACTCAAACTAGACCAGACCAACCATAAACCATCATTGACTGATGATAACATCATGATTTAGAGACAAAAACCATCTCAAACCAAACCAGACCAACCTTGACCCATCACTGACAGATGTTAACATCATGATACAGACAAGAAAACCAACTCAAACCAGACCAACTTGATAGACATCAACACAATAGAGATGAAAACCATCTCAAACTAGACCAGACCAACCATAAACTACCAACAAGACGTTAACATCATGATATAGAGATGAAAACTATGTCAAGCCAGCCCCAACCCATCATGGACAGAAGTTAAAATGATTAAAACCATCTTAAACTAGACTAGACCAAACCTCACCTGTACTGACAGAGAGATGAAAACTATCTCAAACCAGACCAGACCAATCACTGACAGACATCAACATGATAATATATAGAGATGAAAACCATCTTCAACCAGACCAGACCAGATACTGACCCATCGCTGTGGGACTGACTGAGTTTCCAGTCCAGAACCCATTTAAAGATCTTTTCCTCCCAACTCTAGTTGTGTCCGATTTAAGGTCGAGTCATTTGAAGTCAAACGACCCCACAGCACTTCCTCGTGCCTGCATGGGTTAACCAGTTCAGCTGGTTAGTCCTGACACTTCACAGCTCCAGCCAACTGCCCGTAGAAAATCCCATATTGGAGAAATTATTCACAGAAAACAGATCAAGCATGATGATTCGGTGACTGATTCAGATGGGAAGGGAATCGTGATCGCACTCATTCGCTGTCAGATACCATGGTATTACTATGGTACATTTTTCCACCATCATCACTGCAGCAGTATTTCTCAATAACCCAACCTTCAGCGAACTGCACTCAAAACTAAACCACAGCAGATGTTAATACATCACACAGAATAAGAAATAATCCCATCGCGTCACATCATCCTCCTCCTCCTCCTCAGTGCAGATGTTGCAGCGGTGTTTGATGCGGATCGACTCCGGATCGCCACCGCACTCATTCGCTCACCTTCAGCGCCGAGCATCGCTAAACACGCGTCGAGCGGCCGTCGGATTCAAACTCCAGTGTCGCGATGTGAGCGGCGCGTCGGATCGGATCATTCACATGCCGCGCGTGCCCTCCAGTCCGCTGCTGCCACGCGCGCGCCGCAGGTTTCCGCACGGAGCGCTAACGCGGGACGCACGCGCGCCGACGTCAAACTCGTGTCATCGCGATCGATCATCAGTAGTGTTTGATGGACTTCACAGATGAAAACAGATCAATACTGATATTTAACGTTGCATATACATATAATACAACAGACACATTAATAAATAATCCAGGAATATATAATAAATAATTTAGGAATTAATCAATAGCTTTTTTTTGATGCTACAGATAAAATATATATAAAAACTAATAATATAATTAATAATGAATATCAACAATAACCATTTTGTTCACCGCACACATAATGTGCAAAAGAATAATAATCAAACTTTTGTCACTGCTGCAATTATAAAGTGGCAACAAACGGTAATTTATAGTAAAAATAAACATTAAACCAAAAAACATTGTCTCAAATTATAAAATGATTAACCAATTATAATTAATAGTACAAAATAAAAATTCATCAATGACCATTTTTTGTCTTTACTCAAACTATAAAGAGTAACAAATTACTTATTATTAATATAACAAAATATATATATTAATCGACCATTTTTGTTACAACACAATTTGAGTAATTATAATTGATAGTACAAATGAATATTAATCAATAACCATATTTGTCTCTACTATTAAAATTGTAAAAAGTGTAACTAACATTTTTTATAGTAAAAATTATTTTTATTCAATAACCATTCTTGTGAGCACTTAATAAAATGAGCAACTTTTAATAGCAATAATGAATATTAATAAATAACCATTCGTCACCACGCAAATTACAAAAAGTGAAACTAATTATTATTAAAACTAAAAATGAATATGAACCAATAACCATTTCACCACACAAATGACAGCTGAGTAACTACTTATTAATAGCAATAATTAAACATAACCTTTTTTGTTACTAAACAAATTATATAATAAAATATTTAAACAATAACAAATGTTAAATATTACATAACTGATTATTATTAATCTAAATAAATAGGCATATACGATATATTTCAGTAACAAACATCTTCAGCAGGAACAGAAGTCAAAGTCATCAGAATTGTGTTATTGTGTGTGTGTGTGTGTGTTTCATAGGTCCTGAGTGCTGATTGTGAAGTCAGACCTTTTAATAGCAATAATGAATATTAATAAATAACCATTCGTCACCACGCAAATTACAAAAAGTGAAACTAATTATTATTAAAACTAAAAATGAATATGAACCAATAACCATTTCACCACACAAATGACAGCTGAGTAACTACTTATTAATAGCAATAATTAAACATAACCTTTTTTGTTACTAAACAAATTATATAATAAAATATTTAAACAATAACAAATGTTAAATATTACATAACTGATTATTATTAATCTAAATAAATAGGCATATACGATATATTTCAGTAACAAACATCTTCAGCAGGAACAGAAGTCAAAGTCATCAGAATTGTGTTATTGTGTGTGTGTGTGTGTGTGTGTTTCATAGGTCCTGAGTGCTGATTGTGAAGTCAGACAGACAGACAGAGACCCGTCCAACCCGACTGACACACACTATTAAGGAAAGCATAATTTGTGTGTGTTTGAGTGTGTGCGTGTGTGTGTGTGTGTGTGTGTATTAAGGATACAGCATGTGTCTGCTCGAGCTCTCAGAGGGAGGAAGATGTCTTAGTGACTGTTGTATAGCCTCCATCCTCATCCTCAGATCATTAGGAGGAGAAAGAGCACAACACTGAACAAACAAACACACACACACACAACTCAATAACACACTCAGAACATTTCAGGAAAAAATTAATACTTTAACTGATCCTTGCATTAAATTGATCAAAAGTGAGAATAAAGACATTTGTAATGTTACAAATTCTATTCATTCTATTCTTTCTATTCATCTGTGAATCCTGAAAAATAAAATGTATCACGGTTTCTGCAAAAATATTGGGCAGCACAATTGTTTTCAACACTGATAATAACCATAAATGTTTCTTGAGCAGCAAATCAGCATATTATAATGATTTCTGAAGAATCATGTGACACTGAAGAAGAGACTTCTTTCAGAAACATTAAAACATCAAACTTTTGAAAAGTTGTGTGTGTATATATATATATAGATCAGTGATCTCAAACTCAGTTCCTGGAGGGCCACAGCTCTGCACAGTTTAGCTCCAACCCTAATCAAATACCCCTGATCCAGCTAATCAAGTTCTTCAGGATTACTAGAAACTTCCAAGCAGGTGTGATTTGGAGCTGGTTGGAGCTAAACTCTGCAGAGCTGCGGCCCTCCAGGAATTGAGTTTGAGACCACAGTTATAGACTGTATGTATATAAGTGTGTGTGTGTGTGTGTTACACACCTGTGTGAGCATCAGTCTCAGTGTGTGTGTGCTGTCATCGGTGAGGTTCGTCGCTCCTCGTTTCTCAATCTCTTCACACACAGACTCAATTTCAGTCCTCCAGTGTGAGACGCCTCCGCTGAAACACACCAGCTGCACACAAACACACACTCAGAGAGAAGAACAGGGCTAAAGCATATGTATGGGGCTGTTTACACCTGGTCACTTCATGCGTTTTGTCTGATTGGATAGCTATCCGATCGAGAAAAGGCCAGGTGTAAATGCCCTCCGAAACGCATTCGAGACGGATATAAATCCGATCGCTCAAACCACTTCTAGGAAGCATTCAAGATGAAACTGGAAAAGTGTGAATGCATCTGGTTGTTGAAATCGCATATGTAAATTGTACTCCTCCCAAAATGTTAAACTAATAAATGTGTAAGTGTGTTATAGGCTATATGGCATGCTATAGTCAGATACGACAGCGCTAATGCAACACGCATCGCCGCGGATGAGTAGTTAAGTGTCTCTTCAGCAAACCGATACGCAAACTGGTGCAAATGAAAGTAAGTTGCAGATATTCAACACACAATCATCTTCATTAAAAGTGGTAAAACTTACTTATCTTTCCAGTGCTGATGCGCTCTCCTATTGCGGTCTTTGATCTTGAAATGAGCTGATAATTAATAAAATGCAGCGCTTATCTTTTGATTTCGTTGACGTGAGCACTATGTAAACAGGCCCAATGTGTGTGTGTGTGTGTGTGTTACCTGTGTGAGCAGCTGCAGCGCTGCAGGTCTCAGTCTCTGGTCACAGGAGAGTAAAGAGAAAATCAGGAACCGCATCCACGGCTGACACACCATGTGCTGCGCTACACACACACCGATAACACAATCATGAGTGTTTGTCCGTCTAAAGCCTGTTGTTAATATTTGACTCTATCAGTGAGCTCATCTCATAGACTTATCAGGTTAATGACCCTGAACTGACCCTCACAGAAACCTGTGCTAAACACCAGCGGAAACATGATCTGACCGATTCTTGAGTGCTTTTAACTAGTGAACCGCTTTTACTGCATGATTGAGGATGTTGTGTGTATTTGTACCGGTTTCAGAGCTCCGTCTGCGCAGAAATCCCATCAGAGACCTGAGACAGTTCAGAGCGGCGCTGACCATCAGATCCTGCGTCTGTCACACACACATCAGTCATCGATCCATTCACTCTCACTCATCAATCAGATGTCTGTGCTGAAAATCCTTTACCCTGATTTGCCGTTTGCGGTGAAAAATGACCCAACTTTTAAAAATAGCTTGTCAATTTCTCATTGTGCTGTTGTATCACCAAATCTTGTCTTCAGTATTGTCAGCCTGTTTTCTTTTAATTAGAACAGGTTTTGGGTTTCTTTTTGAAACTGATCGTAGGATTCATTGATCTGAGCTTAAATCTTTTTGATTAATAAAAGCATTATTTGTGGATAACTTTGGCAATTTTCAGTTTTTGAGTGAAAAAAAAACCATCTGTAGATAATTTTGGCAATATTCCGTTTTTGATTGATAAAAACATTATTGGTGGACGATTTTGGCAATATTCCGTTTTTGATTGATAAAAACATTATTGGTGGACGATTTTGGCAATATTCCGTTTTTGATTGATAAAAACATTATTGGTGGACGATTTTGGCAATATTCCGTTTTTGATTGATAAAAACATTATTGGTGGGATAATTTTGGCAATATTCACTCAGCAGATCAACCTCAGATCAAAGAGGCCTACTATCAGTCAGTTCCAAGAAGAAATACAAAAATGTGCCAATTGAATGAAGAAGGAAAACAAGTTGACAAAAAGACTTCAAAAAAATCTCAAAAAGTACAAAAATAATAAACATTTTTTTGGGAAGTTGTTAAACCGTGTGAACAAAATCACTAAGTTTTGATCCAGTGCTTTAACATTAATTAGTGTTTTTAGTAAAAACAGAGAAAATCCTCTCTGGGTCAAAATAACCAAAACACAACATGAGGGTCAAAACAAGTTCATGTATGTGTGTGTGTGTGTGTATGTGTGTTCGTATACCATTAGCATGAGTGCGCTCAGCGCTGTCATGAGGCTCGTAGCGCCGCTGTGTCCGATGGGATGAAGAGCACCATCTATAGAGGTCAGAGGTCGCTGCAGTGCTGCATCACAAACACACAGCAGAGCAGATGCATCCACATCCAAACACACCTGCACAAAGCGCACACTGCACTCTACACACACACACACAGAGTCTGATGTCTCAGTTCATTACAGTTAGTTACACAATACTGTAAGTCTCAAACAGTCTTTCAGTCACCAGCATGTGTTTATTTGTTCAGATTAAAGGTGAACGACATGTAAACTCAACAAATCAATGAGGGATGAATCGTTTGGAGAAACATCTGCAGATCATGCGATCACTTCAGCTCATGAAACTCATTTTAAGTAGCTAAACTTCACTTCTGCACAATGCCAAAAAACTATGTTTGCAAAAAATTACAAACCTTTATTAAAATATAAAGGCATCTGTATTGTATCATATATAAATATCATTTTTACAGTGTAAGAATATTAAGTGTGACGTAAAAAAAAAAAAACACAATGTGTTTCCGAAATGAAATGACTGACTTTTATATTGTCACAGTGTAGGCATTTCTGTCTTCCTCCAGCTATTAGAGTACAGTAAAGCAGCATGATAATAATCAATTGTTTTGTGATTTCAAAAATTGTAATCACAATTATTGTCATTTTGGTCATTTCTTTTTACATTTCATCTTTATTATTGCACTTTCACATAAGCACAAATCAACAGAAGCTCAACTCACATGCTTATTTGACCTCATCTAGTTTACTGATTTATTATATGTATCATATAAATGAACACACTATGCATATTATGATGAAAACTATAAAAACAAGAAGCTTCCAATCCTGTGGAATTCCTAATATTAATACAAACAACTCCAAATTGTGTCCATGTTTTCTTTTAAAACAGCAAAAAAACTGATTTCCTTCTTTAGAAAACAAAAATCAAACATCAAAGTTCATTCAGTTAATGTTTTTTTTTTCTTAGAAATTGTCCAGTTTGAAAACCCAAAAGATGCATTAATTCAGCTTTTACATCAAACCAATCTAGTTTTCTTGTGTTTGTGTCTTACTGATCCGCATTGTGTCTGAATGTGTGCGTCTGTGTTTTAATTGTGAGTGTGTGTAAGTGTGTGTGTGAGCGTGTCTATGTGTGTTTTAACTGTGAGTGTGTGTGTCTTACTGATGAGCAGTGTGTCCGTGTGTCTCTTGCTGAAGGCCAGTCGTCTGATTATCTGATGCAGATCCACACTGACGCTCCTGTGAACCTTCAGCGCACACACACACACACGTGTCAGGTGTTTATTATGAGACGACACTGATCTCAGCTGTGCAGGAGTGTGTGGTACCTGAGCGGAGTGTTTGTGCTGCAGGAGTGTGAGGGAGGAGAGCAGGAGTAGAGAGGAGCACAACAGTGATGAAGATGAGGATGAAGAGGCAGATAAAACCTCCTCCAGCAGCTCCATCAGCCTGACGTTTCCCAGCAGCAGAGACACTGCTGAACACACACACACACCAAACAGATTTCCTGTTATCTCTCAGTTCATCCAAAACTCAAGCATGTTAATTGAGCATCAAGAAAGGCAAAGAACGCTCTTTGGCAGAGTAGAGCAAATAAAGCTAATAATAATAAAAAATTAAACTTCCTCCACAGTTTATGAGTGTGTGTTACCTCTATCAGTAGCATGTGAAGGACACACAGACAGGAAGCAGTACAGAAAGTTGAAAACAGACAGCAGCAGCTCAGAGTCACTGGAGTCCAGCTTTCCTACTAGATTACTGACTACACACACACACACACACACACACGCACATATGAACATAACAGCATCCAAACTCTCTCTCTGAGTGTGTGTGTGTGTTAGGGCTGTCAAAAAAATTTTTTAATTTCAAATATTCGTCGAATTTAAAATAAAAATCCGTTGCATTCGAATTTTAAGTGTGCGTCAGGCAGCCTTATCAGTGGCACACGAAATGCGATGACGATGTAAGTGTCAAAAATGCAAGTTGTTAGCCTATCCAGTTGAACCCCCTGATGTAGCACTGCTACGTTGTTCATTCAAAATATTGCGGAAAAAGAGAACACAAATGCGGAGATCTTGTTTACGTCAAAACTGAAACCAAGCCGTTCACACAGAACGCATATTTATCGCATTTTCTAGAGGGACAATTATCACCGTTGCACTCGCGTCTCGCACAAGAGAGCCGCATGTTTAGAAAGCCATGTAAAATTAATGCAAGTTCAACTTTTAAAAAACATGTCTCGAGAATTTATGGCGGTTTTTCCCATCCCACTGTATCTCATGTTTTTAAATGAAAAAAAAAGGACTCTTTGTGATTGATTTTTGGTCCTTTGTATTGAACTATGCATACATACAAAATACTGTTTTGTTTCTAATTGTTTAAGCAACGTAATTAATTATATATGGTTTATAAACCTTATTTTAAACAGTATGCACTTTTTTCAAAGATAGTTGTGTTATTTTATTGCTTTGAAGAAACGTGCATTAGTAATATTTTGCTCGATGCACCCTCTTGTGGCCTCTGGAGAGCAGCCAAAAGCTTTTTTCCCCCTAACTGAAATTATGCCTTTTAAATTCGAATATAATTTGAATATTGATAATATTTAAGTACAAAATTCAAATGTAGTTTTTCAGCCATTTTGACAGCATGTGTTTTCTTACCGTGGTACAGGAGTCTGAAGTCAGTGTGCTCCATCTGACCGGACGAGTGAATCACAGACGACACGTCCAGCAGCACAGACAGACCGTCTGGAACAGATCAAACATCAGCGGCTGACACACTGTGATCAGTTTATGAGTGAATCGTGGGGCGGGGCTTGATATTAGCCACTGGCTGCTGATTGGACCATCAAAATGACTCACTGTTTCGTACAAGAACGGAGGATCTGAATGCAATTGGCTAGACGTTACCTTTATTTCTACAGTGTTTTCTACACTACAGACTGTCAGCATGAACAAATGTAAAGTGAGTGTGTGTTCTCTGACCTGTGTGTGTGTGTCTCTGCAGGACGTTGAGCAGCGCCGATCGGATCTGATCACAGAGATCAGACGTCCCGCTGATGCTGCTGCTGTCGGCCGATCGCAGGTAACACTGCAGCACACCGACGGCTGAACGTGACGCTGCAGACTCGGCGTCACACGCCACGGCCTGAACACACACATTACACACCACAGAGTGTCACCGTGATTTAATAACTGTCTGACAATAGACCTTATATTAGAGTCTTAAAGCAGTGGTTCTTAACCGTTTCGCCTCCAAAGCCTCACACGGTTCAAACTAAAACTAATTCTAATGAAATCATTCAATTCAACCCAACTTTAGGAATTCTACACAGATTTTTTAGTTGTTTTAACTTATTTTAAAGCTTCTTTTGTCTTATTTGTAATCATAACTTGTCTAAAAGGAATCAAACCAGATAAAGTATAATTTAAGTACCATCTGTTGAATTAATCAAAATTCATTCCAATCATCGTCCTTTAAAAATAGGAAAAATAGCACAGCAAATATCTGGGTCACATTGAGATACTTGATATAATTATTTTTATTTTTTACTTTTTTTAAATGTTTTTTTGTTTGTTTGTTTTATTAATAAATTAATAAAATGTATTATTTACTCTCTCTCACACACACACACACAAATTATATATATATATATATATTGAGAGAGAGAGAGAGAGAGAAGTCAACAAAGTTGTCCTAAGACAAGAACGGGTATTATTTTGGTTTTACGACAACTTTGATTAAAGGTTTTGATTCACTTGAAATGTTGACCAATTAAAGCTAATAAAAAAATAATAATAGAAAAAAAAAAAACTTTAATAGCAAAACTCAAGGTTGTTGGTCATAAAGTGTGTGAATCCTGAAGAACATTGTGTATACATTTACAGATCACTGACTCACTGACAAATTCTGTGACATTCTGCGTATATACTGTATGTAATAATGTCAATGCATACTGTGATTCCCTAATTTTCATCAGATTTACAGAACTAATGTTGGATTATAAGTGTAAATGCTTGCTCTTCAGTTGTCATGTACATGTTTTTCAAGTCAGCTTCTGCCTTTATAACTGTGATGTGTGTGTGTGTGTGTGTGTGTGTGTGAGTCACCAGTCACCAGTGTGGCCAGCAGCGCTGCAGGGTGTGTGTGAAGCAGCTCCAGCAGCTCCTGCTCCTGCTCCTGCTCCTGAGTCTCCTCTGACAGACGTCCCGTCAGAGCTGGTGGTCCGAACCGCTGCGAGAGCTCCGGATACATGAAGATGAAGCTCAGGACAGACAGAGGAAGAGTGCGAGAGAAGAGGAGCGGACAGGAGGACAGAGCTTTAGAGAGGACGCTCACAGGCACCTGCACAAACACACACTTCATTAGCATCAGCATCATCACACTCAACCTCTTCCTGAGAGACTTCTGTCAAACTCATGCTGTCTCAAGGTAATTTAGGCCTGATGAGGTTTGAAAACACATCTGACTGGTTGCTAGGGTGTTGCTAGTTTGTCACCAGTCTGAATGACAGATCCACAAACAGATGTGAAATCACATGCAGTGAGTGTATTAATGGCTGAAGAGCCAGCGTGCTTCTACATTGCTATGGTATTTGAATTTGAATGTAGTTTAGAATGTAGTTCTTCTCTAGCTGTTGCAATGGTAACCAATTATGTTTCAAATTTATTTGAATTTGAATGTTTTTGTTCTCTAACTTTTGCTACAATAACTCATGATGCTTTAAATAGATTTGAATTTGTACATAGTTTTGAAAGTATTTAACGTTTCAAATATATTGGAATTTGATTTTGAAAATCGTTTTGAATGCATAATGGATGCTATGGTAACCAATAACGTTTCAGATGTTTTTGAATTTCTACGTAGTTTTGAATGTAGTTGTTCTCTAACTTCTGCTTTGGTGACTGATAATATTTCAGATATATTGGAATTTATCTGATTGTAGTTTTGAATGTATGTTCATCTGTTGCTATGGCAACCGATGAGGTTTCAGGTGTATTTGAATGCATCTGCACTGTAATGTAATGAGCTGAAACAGGAAGTGGAGGTCAGAGCAGTGGCAGACCGTGTCTAGACGAGGCCCGGCGTGCTGAGTGACGGACAGCAGATAGAGCACTGAACTCAACACCGACGCAGGAAGGTCCTGAACACACGAGATGAAGCGCAGCACAGCGGAGAACATGGCCGAGTCGCTCAGAAACCTGCGGTCACATGACCATCGTGAGGATCTTCATCACTCAGTGGCATCACCACTCACACACACACACACAGACCTGTCCCCGTGCAGCAGCGACAGGTGCAGCAGGTAGATGAGGCAGTGCTGAGTGTTTCTGAGGGATTGTGGGAAATCAGAGAGCACAGATGGCCAATCAGACGCGCAGCAGCACAGAGACGGCAGAGACTCCTGCAGGACACGCTCCATATCTGCTCAACACACACACACAGAGTTTACAGGTTAGCCAGGAAAGTTTTCTTTATGAAAGCAGAAGTTTCTTTTTAGGTTGGCAGAACATTAGAGGAATGTTGTGTGTTTGCTGGAGAGATGCTCTGTTGCAAATCAGGATGAAACACATTTAAGACGCATTTTAATACTAAATAAAAACACATTCACACAAACACACACCCACCAAGGTTATTATCATAAACATTATCAAATTGTTCATTTTTTTTTAGCATTTTATTTCAGTTAAACTTATATTTTACCTAGTTTTTTAACATTTTTAAATTTTCTTTACATAAATGCACTGAAATATCTAAAACTAAAATAAGAATTAATAAAAATTATAGGCCTGCACATAAAAAAACTATTAAAAATGAAAAGAACACAACAAATCTACTAAAACTTTAAAATAAAATAAAAAACTGTAAATTTATAAAATGAATATAAACTACAATAATATATGAATGTTACATAAATCACACTGACACACAAACTAACCCACCAAGGTTATTATCATTAAGTAAAACAAAATTTTTTAATTCCTAAGTACTAAAGAACTAAAACTAAAATAAAAAATAATAAACAATAAAATAATCAATATAGACATGTTTAAAAAAAAATAAATAAATAAATCTTTAAAGGGGTCATATGATGCAATTTCATTTTTTCCTTTCTCTTTGGAGTGTTACAAGCTCTTGGTTCGACGCGTTTCAGAAGGCGGGGCATAGAGGAGAAACAATAATGTACAGTATGTGGAAAATAATGTGTTTTTTTAACTTTAAACCGCATAAACACATTTCATTACACCAAATACACAAAATAATGTTCTTTTTAGCAGCATCATATGACCCCTTTAACTGAAACTAAAATCTCTTACTCGAAAACATAAACTCAAAATATGAATAAAAACTGTAATAGCCTGTAAATGATACTAAAATAATGCACACGAGTTACCTTGCAGCTCACTGGTCCAGGTGTGTTCCTGTGAGATCAGACACATGCAGAGCTTCAGCAGGAAATCACAGCAGATCTGATTCAGAGACGCGTTCCTGACACACACACAGACTTAATGAACACGAGCTGCTAAACACACACTCACCTGACTGTGTGTGTGTGTTCACCTGTTCCCTGAACACAGCTGAGCTTTACTCTCCAGAGTCAGTCTGATGAATCCAGACGCGGCTGACACACACACACACACACACACACACACACACAGAGAATCAGTGATCAGTCAAACACTGACGTCTGCACTGCAGAATCAATAACAGAGTCATGTGACTAAACTACACCAATCACACATGAAGACTGAAAAAAAAATTGCAATGAGGGTAACACAAAGTTCATAAAAGCCCACGACCTGGCCATGACCTTTGACCCCTGAGCCAGGTCTTACCAAGCTTCTTGGAGAAGGAGGTCATGTGATCAGGACACAGAGAAAACTGGCACGACAAAACCGAGAGGAAGAGCTGCAGCACCTGAGGAGATGAGACGCGCTCACACACACCCTACACACACACACACACACACGAGTGTAGGGTTCAGTGTGATTGTATGATGTGTGTGTGTGTGTGTGTGTGTGTGTGACTCACAGTAACTGCAGGGATGCAGGCAGCGTCGCAGCAGTGCAGCAGAAACACACACACAGACTCCAGCGTCTCCTGAGCTGAACACACACCGTCCTTCAGAGTCGAGTCACACACACACGCCTCCACCAACCTACACACACAAGGCAAAATATAATCAAATAATTAATTATTTCAAAAAATCATCATGTAAAAACAAAATAAATCATTTGATAAGACATAAATAATCAAAATAAAATAACTATAAAAAAAAATGTATACAATGCAAAAATAAAACAAATACTTAAAAAAAATCAAATTAAGCATATCATAAAAATTCTAAATTTAAATAATAATTCAATAACTGTAATTTCAAAATTAAATGTATAAATAAAATAAAATTAAGACAAAATAATCATTTTAAAAGTAATTTTAAAAAACAAAAACAATAAACATAAATATTTTCTTAAAAATTAAATCCAAAAATCCAAATAAAAATAATAAAAATAAATAAACCTCTTATTAAAAATGAATTAAATCATAAAAATATGAATTTAAACGAAACCATTTTAAAATAAAACGTATCCAAAAAAAAAAAACCTTTTTATTTAATTAAATGTAATTATTACTAAATTACTAAAACTTAATCGTAATTATTATTTAAAACACTTAAATCATAAAAAAGTACAATTCTTTTTTTTAAGTATGGGTATGTGAGTGAGAGACTGACCTGCAGGCGGCGTCGAAGCATGTGAGCATCTGCAGTAAAACTCCTGCTGTCACTGACTTTGAACCAGAGCAGCTCTCCTGAACTCACACACACACACACAGATGATGATCACATGACGCCTGCTGATCACATGACCGCTGCTCAGGACACTCACACTTACTCTGCTGCGTGTGTGATGGTGCTCTGTGATTTTGGACATCACGACCTCCGCGATCCTCCTGACGTCTGCGAGCTGAACCGGACTGGACTGATGATTGGGCCTGTGCAAACACACACACACACACATGCAATTTACCATGCTGCTCCGCTACAGTAACCAGAACATCCACTCGAATCGTGTGTGTGTGTGTGTGTGTGTGTGTGACCTGAGCAGGACAGCAGCGGCTCGCATCGCACACATGGACACCTGCAGACAGGATGAGGCCACGCCCTCCACGATGACATCACACACGGCAGAAAACTCAGAGCCGGTCGGGAAGAGACGCACCGCTGCAGGCTGCCTGTCAACACACACACACACACACACACACACACACACACACATGTATATAAGCACATTTCATTTTTAGTAGGCGTTTTATTTAGATTTTTTTATTTAGTTTTAATTTTAAAATGTGACCCGTGCTGGCAAAATGAGTCGGAAAGCGCACGGGCTAATTTTGAGCTACAGGCAAATAAAATGTGAAAAATGACAATTTCGGTTGAATTTGAGGTTTTCACAAAAATGAGTTCATTAAGCCCTCGTCTAACAATCCCAATGCTCCAAATAGTGATTAAACATCTAAAATGATCTTTTACATATCTTTTATACATAATTATCTTTTGTGCGTTTTCTGGGAGGAGTACCTTTTTCTCCCTGATCCCGATAAATATACACATATGCACAGAATTACAGTATTTAAGTATTCACGCAAACATAATCTGTTATGTCTTAAGTGAACGTTTGGGGAACTGTTGGGGAAAATCATCGGATGTGTAACATTATATTAGATCCGTGCAGTACAGTAGGTCTTAATATATAGGCCATTTGTCGCATTGATGTTAATCTAACAATAAAAGAAAAGAGGGAATCACTGTGTGTGTGGGGGGGGTGGTGTTTGACCTGTCCAATATGGCCGTCAGCAGCTCCAGTCCTTTTATCTGCACCTCAGTGTTGGATTTTCCCAGAGTCTCTTTGAGAGAGCGAACCAGTGGCTCCACACCTCAAACACACACACATTTACAGTCAGACTGATGAAGAGCTACTGACTTCATCGTGAGAAATGAGTTCATGTGAATCACACACACACACACACTCTTGTACCGTAGACGGCATGACACTGCGAGAAGAAGAGCGGATCTTCAGACAGCAGCAGCAAACAACTAAACACCGACCACAACAAGACGTCACTGCAGCCGCCGCTCATCGCCTCCAACAGGAACTCTAACACACACACATATCAGACACACACACATATATTAGTCACACAGACACTCATGCATTCACACTGTGAGCTGAAACCGTGACCCTGATGTTTCTAGCGCTGAGTCTCTTCTGTTTATATGCAGGATCAGTGTGAGTGTGAAATGAAGTAGGTTTAATCCCATTTTCGTACATGATGCAGTGCAACTGACTGGAAAAAATCTTGATTATATGCACTTATAACATTTCTCAAAGCACGTCAGAAGTGATTCCAAACAAAGGCAACATTAACATTATAAAACTGTTCAGCCTGTCATCAGACGTGAACCACTGAGTTTCTCTTTCAGTCATTAACACACACACACACGTCTCTGTTTACACTGATGTGTGAGATCAGTGTGAGATGTTCAGGCTCAGACGAGCGTCTCACCGGGTAAATCAGCCTGAATGAAGGATGAAGAGAAGTGAAGAGGAGCGTGAATCAGTACGGCACACACACAGCGCACAGAAACCACCTGCAGAGAGTCCTGAGTGCTCAACAACAGCTGAAACACACACACACACACACAGAGAGAGAGAGATCAGTGTCACGCCGCTGCTGTTTAAACCACAGTCCACTAGGGGGCATCAGAAAGCACCCAAAGGGCCAGCAGGAAACTTATTTACAAGAACAATTCACATTGATATTAATAATATACTGAAATGATCTAACTTCATTCAAGTGATACAAAAAAAAAAACACATAAAATCAAGTTCTCAACTGAAGTGTCAATAACTGTTGGTTTAGTGTGTGTGAGTTAGGGGTGGGAATTGCAGGGTACCTCACGATACGATACGAATCGCAATACATGGCTCACGGTACGATAATATCACGATGCAGCGATTCTGCGATATTCGATATATTGCTAGACACTCCTATAACGATACATCACGATATCTGTCTAACTATGAAAACAAAATGCCTGTGAAAAGGTTAAGTGCAAGTTTTCTCTCTTTATTCAAGTCCAAACTGTTAGAAAACAGCACGAAAGTTCTGTAAATAAAATTTAACATGCCAAGTAAATTAATCATTTTATTCTTGGACTTTGTGTGTAAACCAACACATTTAACTGCTTATCAACTTTATATAGCCTAAGTATATAAACCTGGTACATTTCAAAATTTACCGGAATTGAATATCAAAATTGAGTGTTTTCTCAACCTTTCCTCACCTCTCATCATAAAAACGGAGCCCCGCACACATGACATGCAGGGGGATAAAAGCCGTTCACATCGTGTCTTTTGCGCTCTCAGGTTCGTTAATTCCAATGTAGACGCGCGGCAAGCACACTGCACACTTCTGCGCGGCATTACGGCTCTGGCGAGGTTTTGCTTCGTCATCCATGCCATAGGTGCAGAATGATTTATGTTTCTGCCGGTCGGTGGCTCGGTGCCCACTGCATAACGCGCACTTGCAATATCTGAGAGAGAGGGAGAGCATCCAGTTTTGTTGACATAAAACTGGACGCGCAGGCGGCACTCTCTCACTCATATAGTGAGGGAAATCCACCTGCGATCCGAGCGGAGAGGTTAGGTTACTCATGGACTGAATAAGCGCTCTGCAGTAATAATGTGATCAGGCACGTGCAGAAGGGGGGGCTTTGGGGGCTCAAGCCCTTGTCCTTTTTCAAAATGATTAAAAGTGCCCCTCTCAGACAAATAGCAATGTTATTGTGGTCAATAAAACAAAATGCATTTTAATTATAATTAACCTGACAAGGTGTACAAAACGGTAACTAATTGCTCAAAAGTCGGAAAATTCCTGTTTATTTTTACATATCTGTCAATCTGAGGCGTTGCTATGGGTTGCGTGCGTTTTGCTTGACTGACTGATATT